TTATTTTAGAGGCTGGTTTAAGCATTTTAAGATGCTTAGCATCTTCTTGGTACTGGCCTTACAGAAATGCTCTTGTACATACATAGGAAAGGATGACAGAATTTATATTCATTTGTTAGTGTTTGTTTAAAATTGAAAAAGGAAACAGCCTGACTGTCCAATAGTAACGAATGATAACATAAATCCTGATGTGCCCATATTACATAATACTCTGAACAGATAAAAAAAATTGTAAGATCACAGTCAGATACATGTACTAGTGTCACAGGATCTTGGAGACACCGCTGGGTGTTCAAGGCAGCACCGCGGAACAGTGTGTGTGGTGCATCAGTGGTATTTATTCCTGAAGCCATTTCCATGCATGTACAGGAATAGCTATCACTGCCCACATGAGACCTAGAGGGTATGTTCAAACAGTGTGCACTGCTGGAAACAGACTTTCATTTTGGTGAAAATGTGTCAGATATTTTATACTTTTAAAAATAAAAACATCATTTACACGGCAACTGCTCCCTCAGGTTTGGAGCATGACATAAAAGCTAAACTTCAGCATCAGAAATCCATCTCATATATATATATATATATATATACACAGATATACATACGTACTATGTACATACATACATACAAATGTAAGTTGTTCAGAAATTTTTAGAGAACTGTAAAAAGAGTGCAGAGAACTCCCAAACTTCACCCCAATTCTCTACTTGTGACATTTTCCATGTCTACTTTCTCTTTCAGCCACTATCTTTATTCTTTTTCTGAGCTATTTGCAAGTCACAGATTTATCACCAGGATGTACTTCCTTAAAACAAGGGCACTTTCCCATTTGCAAGTACCCAAAACTTGGTTTTAGGCATTAAGAACAGCTGTACATATTATTCTGCAACTTGATTTTTCCTCCCCCTCTCCTTCAAAATGCAGCTGTCAAGGCCTTAGCACTGATACATCATCACTTTGTAATCCACAGGACCCACCGAGTCCCCAGCTTTCGCAAGGGCCTCCTTCTTCCTTTCTAGTCCAGGGCCAACCAAGGATCTTGGTCTCACTTATTTGTGTTTCCTCAGTTTTCTTCAACTTTTAATAGTTACCCAGACTTTCCGTGTCTTTCACCACCTTGACACTTTTAAAGAACAAGACCTTAACTTGTGTAGGATGCTCCTCACGTTAGGTCCAGCCTCAGGCCAAGAGTCTTGGCAGGAATGCCACAGAATAACACAGAGGCTGCATTCTTACTGCACGAGTCAAAAGGCACTTGATGGTGGCCTGCCAGGTGTTCTCATTGCAAAGTGGCTGTACATTCCCTTTGTGGTTGATAAGTAGATTATGGGGAGACCACCCAAGATTTTGCCAGTGTCCCGCTTCTCATCAGATCGCACTTACCAGCTTTAACATTCGTTAGTGACTCCTGCCTCGAGCTGCCGTTTACGGTGGTTGTCGGCTGTGATGGTTCTTTTCTATTATCCTTTCTTTCTTAGTGGTCGATGGTCTACCACTTAAAAAGAGCATTCTCGCCTATGTATTGATTTCATCTCTGTGGGCACGGTTCCCTTTTTAGTAATACTACCTTACACTGAGCATCGCTGTTTGCTTTGATGTTCGAACTGCTGTGTGGCTGGCCAGTCGGGACCCCTTCATCATGGTGGCGGTGTCCTTTGACATTCCTCCACATTCTTTGTACACTGCTTTACTGTGGCACGCTGAGTAATGGCCCCTGATCCAAGTGGATTGTCTGCATGGGCCCAATAAAAGGGAGAGAAAGCAGAGATGAAGATGTGAAGGCAGAGCATTGGATCAGAGAGAAAGACATGAATAAGTCACGCTGGCCTTGAACGTCTCAGCATGATGAAGCAGTTCACTTCTTTTTCTTGCGTATCTTGCCTGTCATTATCATGAAATCCAAGCATTTTGGTACCTTTCATGGGTTTTTCTTAAAGTGGAAACTAAGCTGTATTTTCCAATTACTGATTTTTTCTCAAACCCTCTTGAGCTGTACATGGAATTTTTTATGGTCAGCCTACAGATGGAAGCACCTGATTTTCACTTTTACCAGATCCACTGTGGGAGACTTCACTTAAGTATGAAAATAATGTGTGCTTTCCTACACATTTTGTGAGAAAAGTTTGCTAAGAGGCTTATGACAACTCAAGGCTTGGACATTCCCCGGCTGGCTGTGGCTAGTAGACAGACCCACAGTGCAGTAACGTCAGTACTTAAGGTGGAGTCCCCAGCAGGAGTTACATAGATGACCTGGTCCTTACATTGCACCAGTCGCTGTGTGAGTCTGCATTCAAAAGGATTTTAGCTTATGTTTCTGGGACCTAGCTGATGAAATTGGTACATGATGGGTGACTTTTTCAAACTAAGGTTCCCAGAGTCTCGTTTTGAGAGAGCCACCATGTAGTAAAAAATTGTTAGCAGTATAAACCTTCGGTCCAGCCAAAGCCAGGTACAGATCCTAGAAATGACAATTCTTAGCTGGCACCTGTAGGTAAGTCACTTAATTTTTCTAAACTTAAGTTTCTTATTTCTAAAATGGAGAAATTCCATTTATTATTCTGAAAGGGTATAATATAAGGTCATGGGGATTAAATAAGAGAATGTAAAATCACATGAAGAAGGTGTTCAGTAAAGTGGCAGCTGTTAATGATAGGAATTTTAGTTACCTAGAATAACTTTCACAGTACTCAAAATAGTCAAGATCACTTGTTACTAACCTCTGCAATCGACTGGGGTTGTTTTCCACTCTGTGCAGCTTTTATTTCTTACTTTTAAAGTGTACATGGGGCCCATCAGATTGTGTTTAAATTTTACATATTTATATTATATTGGAAAATATCCAGCAAAAACTACACATTTATGTTGATACTAAAATGGAGTGGGTCCTTAAAGATTCCATGTTCTCTCTGTATTCAGAATTGTTTCAAAGATGCAGTGTTTCTACAATCGTGATAGGGTTGTCACTGTGAGTTGGCGATGTAATCATGCTATAATTAGTTTGACACCGACATGCTTATTGTATAATTAGTTGAGATTATCATTTAACTTTAGTGATAGAGTAGTTACCAGCTTTAATAGTTTCTGTTGTCATGAGTTTAAAAAGGAGAAGTGTATTCAGGCATGTGCTTTCATTATTACACATTTCTGCCAGGTGTATATTCCATGCAGCTGTAATCTTAACTCGGTGGTTAGGAAACAGAATAGGAAGTGTAAAATCTTTGCTCTGGTGAGCCTGGCCAGATTATTATTTCATCATAATGGCAACGTCTGGCAGGGGAACTAAAACAAAACCTCCTCCCCAAGAAGATTCGGCCTGCTCCAGCTAAAGCTGTATACGGCAATGCCAGGAAATTCTGACAGATGGTCAGAGCAAACACTTTGAAAATGTCTTGTGTTTTTCTGTTTTAGCAACTTCACTGTGTGGTGGTTGGAAGTGAAAATGCCAAGCGATATTTTGAAGCAGTTCAAGGATCAAAAGAGCACCGAGGAGAGCTTTTTGGGATCTCCAACCTCTTCAGACTAAGACCCCAAGGGTCTTGTCTTACAAGGGACATCCTGGAGGTATGACATTGTTCTCTGACCTTTCAATAATATTTTAAGTAGTTTAATTCCTCAGGAAATGTGAAAGTCAGTTGTTGATAACCTTTCAGAGAAGTTTTTGGTTTTCCTTATCAAAAACACCTATGTTCAGAGTTTCTACTTTTAGAGAAATAGGAAGTGAGCTGTACCTCTAACTTAAGGTTTCCCCATGCATGTTGTGAGTAGTGCACACATACATACAAGTACTCACATGAGGTAGTGTGTCCTCCATGGCCATTTTCAGACTGGCAGAGAGAAGTTTTTAGTTTGAAAACAGCTGTTGAAGTCAAAAGCTAAAAAAATAAGATTTTCCTAAATAAACAAAATTGTAAAATGTGTTTTCATTAGAAGTTACCAAATACTCCCTGAGATGTACTGTCCTGATTCATGGAGACTTTTGTTTTCTGTTCCCAAGAAAAACTCCCCACCAGTGTACATGAGATTGTCTTACTTATGGTTGTCCTCAGTATACAGGCATCTCTTATTCTCCAGGTGAGGATTTGTGTCTTTTTGAAGTACCTTTAAGCTCTTTAATAAACCAGAGTGGTAACAATATGAACCTGTTTGCTGCCCAGTATTAATATGGGTATCACCAAGCTCTGGAATATCAGCCTTTTCAGTCTCTTTACCATATGAATCAGGAAACAGAGTCTCAGAGAATGTCAAACTATCTCCCCTATCTTCCAGGCCTTAGTGCCCTCCATGTAGTCAGTAAGCACCTGAAGAAAATCAAGGAAGAAGACCACCTGTGGGGGTGGAAGTGAACACTTACATAGCAACGTGTATATACGTGTAATACCAGTCATCACATGCTACGTAAGTCCAGTGGCACTTCACAGTGACCGCTGCCAGAGATAGCTGCGTCCTGAACTCTCAGACCGGCTTTACCATGGCTGATGTCTACTGCTGAATTCTCACCCCAGCTTAACTGATTCGATTCTGAATTGAGTGGCCATTTTAAGCCCAGCTTTTCCTTTTTGCCCTTGTTTTTGAATATGCTGTTTCTTTCATGCACTTGTTAGTTCCCATTCTTCCTCTGTCTTTGAGCTCTCTGCCCCTGACGTGCCTACTTTCTCAAAATCTGTGTCTATAAAACTATCAGCAAGCATTACATTATTTACCCTGATTTCTGCTGAATGTGACATGGGTTAGTTCCCTATTTTATGAGAGTAGCCACTGTTCCTTTGATACACAGTACTGTGTAAGGCAAACCAAGCGACAAGCTAGTGAGTGAGCGTTCTTTCGCTCACTGGCTGTCCCAAGTACATCTTGTTTCTTCTACAGGAGTGTTTGTAAATGGCAGGGCCATTCATTCCTTCATTTCGTTTGTGATAACATGTTTAACACCTTGCTGGGCATATCATTAGCATTTAGTTATTAAATTAAATTTGAATTTAAATTGCTCATTTTTCCTTAGCCAGAACTTAAGTCAATCAGGCCTCAGGCCTCATTATACTCATGCTACTTTTGACCAAACGATGTTATAAAATTCTATTATTGTAAGCCCTTTGCATTTTTTAAGATGTAAAAATTTGAATTTATGTAACACTTGTGATCGCATGACTCTGGGCAGTTTGGTTCCACTTTGCATTGCCTTTCTCTTCCGAGGATTCCCTAGAGATGGATCCTGAGAGCTCTTTTCACGAGTGTTCTCTGAGCGTGTGTCGTAGGGCTGGCCTGTGTAAGAGGATAGGATAGGCATTCGGTGTGGGGACAGGTAAGAGTGGAGTAAGTAAGTGAGATGCACAGCATGTTATGATAGACTCGAAGGGTAAAAGCAGGGCGGGAAAGGGAAGTGGCGACTCTAGCACTGGTGAATGGGAGGCCAGCGCTGCCCTCACTGTGAAGTGTGCACTTTCGTCTTGAGCAAGATAAGAGAGGAAAGTGTGTTTCACACAGAGAGTGAACGAGCAGTGTGAGGGAGGAGCATGCCTGGCGTGATTTCAATAATGGCTGGAGCGGAGTAGACAGGGAGCAAGAGGTGCGGTAAGAAGGATGACAGAGGCAGGCCAGCTGGGAAGCTTGACTTTCCTTTGAGGGGAACAGGAGCAATTGGAGTTTGTGAACAGCAGTAGACATCAGACATGGTAACGCAGCTTGAGTTCTTACAGGACCCTTACAGGATCAGAACGTTAAAGCAGGCAGCACTCTGTTTTCCTCTCCACTCCAGGGTCCAGTCGTTGCTACTGTTTAGCTGGTTGTCTGGATGCTCGCCCCACCCCTCTTGCACTCTGCAGTTAGTGATTTGCGTTCTTTCTTGGGCCTTGTAGAGAGAAGGGCAGGTGGAAGCCGGGATCATGACGGCCTCAACGTGGTTGAAAGAGGGGCCTGCAGGACCCAGGCAAGAAACGGTGAGTCACGTCTGCCCTGCAGCCCACAGTGCCTTGGAGACGTGAAACCTGTACCATGACGCCCTTCAGTGTCTTTGCCTCTTTCCTTCATTTTTCAACATATAAAAAAAAAGGGCCTTTTTTCTAAATTATCAAGGATACAGCCAGAGGACTGTGAATAAAAGTAATGATTTATGTCGATTTAAAATTCTTATAAAGCTGGAATTTAAAATTAAATCCAAATTAAGTGACGAGGTAGGCAATGGGAGCAACCTAACCCAAGTCAACAGCTCTTCACAAACAGCACGTTAGCAGAGAAACAGCCCTGCATTTAAGAGTATTAAATGCAAGTATCAAAGTCTCTCTCTTAAACCAAAGCAGGCATTTGATTTGATTTGCGTCCTTGATCTTGAGATCTTTTTGGTTGTTTCTTGTCTCACATACTGCAAAATCTGTGCTGTTATCACAAGGCCTTATTAGAGGTAAAAAATGTATGTGGGAGGTTTTTCTATTGTTGGTGGTCATTTTTTCTTGCTTGTTTTTAGAGATTTAACTGTAAATTTATGCCAACCAGTCATCTTGAATTTGGGCTGAACATTTTTTAAACTTGGATGAATATGTGAATATCAAATAGTGGCAAAAGTATCAATATTTTCCCAAGATCTTGTATCAATAAAGCTTCAGTTTTAGGAAGATGAAGGATCTGTCTGATTAATGGGAAAATATTGGATTTAAGTTTGTAGCAAGTTTTACTTCAGGATTCTCTTAATTTCTAATGATCAAGATTCAGTTGCACTTAACCTTATTTTAACAAGCCATTTTGCATTTGTGAACTCCTTATTTTTTAAACTCCTATGAACTTGTGCTGCTGTTAAAGGATGATTGGAAGCCCCTGCTGGACCCAGGTGAACCCCAGTAAGCTTTGAGCGACAAGTCATTGCTCTCACTTTTGAGGCCAGAATCACGGGCTCCTGCATCTCAGAAACTGACCACCCCACTCTGTTTTCTGTAAAAATGAGGTGATCACATGGTACTTCTACTTAGACTTCTATTGATCTCGGAAAGTCGAATACTCGAAAAGAGAGGACTATGCCAGATGGTAATATTGAATCCTTAACATTTATTTATTAAATATCTTACTTTTAGGAAACACCAAGTGATATACTCATATCTGAATTATCTGCCCAAAGTTAACCACACCCTTCGGTGTGATGGATTTCATGTCATTTGTCCTGTTTCTGTCATTGCTTCTTATACAGCCCAGAGGACCAGAAGGGTCTGCAGAGCAGCTGGCGAGGGAAGTGTGTGATCTTTGCAGTGACTTCAGTGACGAGGACTCTGTGGGAGCCTCAGTAACAAAGACAGCTAAGAGCAAAGCGCCAGATTCAAGCAAAGCTTTGGCTGGCTCAGGACAGCTCACCTTACTCCAGTGTGGCTTTTCCACAGTGCTGGAGGCAAATCGCAGAGCAGGTGGGCACAGCTATGGCAGTAGTGCCTCTACCGATGAGAGTGCAGAGGAGCTGCCTGCTGGCCTGGCAGCCGATGCCAAGTGTGCTACTGGTCGGGAAACGCATGGCTCTGTCTGCACCTCACAGCACCAGAAGTTAGACGACAACCAAAATCCAAGTGAAAACTGTGCTGCTGAGAACAGTGAGAAGACTATAGAACAGAGTGTTTCTTCTGAGTCTGACGAGGAGAAAAACATGAAAACCACAGCTGAACACAACTGCACTTCAGAGAATGGCACAGAATCAGAAGACAGTGATGTCATCTTTCCCACACAGTGTGCAGCTCGGAGACGCCCCAACAGTCGGGTAAGGTTTAAGACACCCTTAGATGGATCTGAAGACTCTGCAGAAATCAGAAGTAGGGGGAACTGTAGAGTGGCTAATGACAGAGAAGATGGACTAATCTCAAAAGCCTTGAATCTGGAGAACACAGCCCTCAGAAAAGGTGCCGGTGATGTTAGTGATGAATCTGATGACATTGAAGTTCCCCCCAAGTCAACAGTAAGAGCTCAAGGAGCTGCTAGCTCATTGAGACTTAAGAGAAAAAAGACAAACAAAAGGGAACTCCACCACTTTCCCAAAGCAATGAGGAGAGCAGGCCAGCTGCACGCAGCAGACGAGGATTGTAACTCCCATCTCATCGAAGACTCTTCATCCTCAGGTGATGAGCCATCCATCAGCCACTTCACTAAAAAGAGCCATGGAGCAAAACCTGTAAAAGACAGAATCAGTTTCTCCTCAAAGTCACCTAGCCACAATCAGAAAAACAGCACTTCCCTTCCCAGAAAACTGGCGACATCTTCAGACGAGAGAGTTGCAGGTCAAGAGCAGATGTATGAATCAATGGATAAAATTTTAGGTAACTACAAGTATATTCTGATAGCATCTCCATAACTGCTTTGTCCAATCACATAGTTTCGTGAGAGATTACTGAGTGAGTTTATCACCATGCTCAGTGAGGCACAAATAAGGAAGGAGGTGAGTTGCAGGTGAAGGGAGGAGCTCCCATAGCAAGGTAGACTGTCTTGCCCTCTTCCCCAGGATCCCTCCGTGCTCCACCTCTGCCCCAGCAGTACCAGTTGCTCAGCTGCATGGTACTTCCTGGGCTACACGGTTACAGTTTCACCACACAGATGTGTGCCCCAGATATTCCAGCTCAGGCTTGTTCACTTATTTTGTTAGTCTTACCTGGTCTCTCTCAATCTTCAGGAATCCTCCTGCCCTCCTTTCATTGCCTCACAGTTTACCTGTTGGAGAACACGGGCATCTGTAGAGTTTCCCTCAGTCTGCATCTTGCTGACCATGTACTCTCAAGTGCAGTAGAACATGCTCCTCTGTCCTCTGTTACCTGCAAATGACCAGATCACACCCAGCTTCAGAGCCCTCAGCAAGACAAGAGTTGGTGCTTGGGCAGACCATGGGAGGCGCAGAGCACCAAGTCACCCTGCTTTCTCTGCATGATCTTACCAGCCGTGATGCTTCATGCTTGCCTTATTACTCAGTGTAGCAAACTGCTATTTTCTGCTTCTCTCCAATTTTTTTATTACTTAGTTAGAATGCTTTTATAGAGAGACACTTTTCCCTCGTCTGCAGTTGCTTGGCCAGTGGTAGTGGTTCACATAGGAAAGGCAGAAGACAGTTTAATTCCTCTTTGATTACCAGTTTTAGGATGTCCATGGCATCCTTAGGAGAGCACCTGTTCTTTCTTAGTGCTTTGTGAGTCCCTTGCTTCAAACGAACTGAATGGGTGTCAGTCTGTTGGCAGTTGGTATCATCTTTGAGGCTTAGGTACCCCATTTTCGGCCAGAGGGAGCCACTTAACATGAGCATTTTGGTTCCTGAGCTCTTCCAGCAAAAGCTAGTCATCTGTGAAGACTTCCTTGTTAGCTACTGTGGTGAGACACTCCAAGATCGCCTTCGGCAGTGTCTGCCCTGACCTGAAGCCAGTCATTTCCCCAAGAAGCCTTAGTTTGTTCTACAGAGAAAGTGTTTCAAGCCACAGCCTGGCGCTAGAAGTGAGCCCTGCTACTAATGGCTTGGTGTTATTTCTGGGACTTTTTGGTGACATGTGTTTTGTACACACACTTATATGTATTTTAATGTACATACATACAAGTATATGGGCATTTGTAAATATCTTATGTGTGTACACAGACATTTACATGTAATGAGTTTACATCACTGCTTCCATTGTCATACTCAGGGATGGAACCTCTTTTCTGTGACAGTTCAGTACAGCTGCTTCCTGACCGATCATTCTGGTTCAGAAGAGTACAGGGAATGCTTTCATTATGATGGCCCATAAATCTTGTTTGATCTCCTGTTACACAATAGTCAAAGAATAAAGTAACCCTACCACAGTGTGATCACTGGAAGTAACTCTGGGTTTTTGTTTTTGTGTTTCTGTTGTTTTTGCCCATGCTTTCTCACTCTTCCCCTTGTTAAATGGATGCAGTGGGTACGTTGTGTCTGTATGTCAGATACTGACATCGCAGTTGGTGTTCCTCCCCTTTCACTTCACTTGTTCTTGCTTACAGGCATTTGTAAATTCAGTGTTCTCCATCAATCCTTATGGCAGTGTTTCTCTCTCCATTTTGGTTGTCTGGAGCTTGCTTTCCAATAGGTTCCTCCAGAAGGGTTCGTGAGAACACAGATTTCCCTGGGATTCTCGTGATAACAGCTTGCACCCTTATACTACTAAGTCAGTTTAGGCTGGATATAAAATCCTTAGCTTACACTTCGTTTTCTTGAGTGTCTTAAACATACAGTTTTGTTTTTTTCTGGCACAGAGAGGGGCCATGTGCTCCCCCTGTGCCCAGATACTCAAGGGACTTCTTTCTTTCCATTGTCGTCCATTTATTTTACTGGATTGTGTCCTGATGATGTTTATTCTGGATCAGTATATTCTCAGATACTGGTACTGGGGTTTGAACTCAAGGCCTCACACTTGCTAGGCAGGTGCTCTGCCACGTGAGCCCCTCCTCCAGCCCTTTTCTGCTTTCCAGTAGGGTCTGTGATTTTGCCCAGGGCCAGCCTCTGTTATGGTCCTCCTCGTGCCTCCCAGTAGCGAGGGTGACAGGCATACACCCTGTGTTCAGTTTGTGGATTGAGATGGGGCTCTCACTAACTTTTCTGCCTGGGTTGCCTTGAGTCGTGATCCTCCCAAGCTCTGCCTCCACCTGCAGAGTAGCTGGGATTACAGGGGTGCACTGCCACACCTAGCCTGTCGTGGCTTCCTAAACTCTTTATGAGTCCATTCTTTTCAGTTTTCCTTTTCCCTTCTGTTTCTCTTAGAACATTGTCTGCTGTGTTTATGTCCTCTTGTCTTCTACTTAGTCTGCATTTCTGAGTCTGTCTTGAGGAGAGACATTACTCATCTCTGACTTGCTCTGATGATTTGTGTTGTTGATGTCCTTAAAATCCTTTCCTTCATTTTGAAATCAGCTGTCATTTTAGTCTGTTTGTGAACACGTCTTTCTGGCATGTTTCTGTGGCAGGGATGTTTTTCTGCTTCCTGTTCTCTTTCTTTGAGACTTGACCCTGATACTTTTCCCTTGTTCATTGTTCCAGGAGATCATTTCCACTCCCCTGCTTAGCACTCACTCCCCTGTCCTGCTCATCTTGATCGTGCCCCACAGTCTCTCCACTGTGTTGTGTTCTGGCCTAGACAGGAGCCCTGGCAGGTCAGTGGTGGGTCCTACAGGTGAGCATGCTCTAGTGCCTTCCTGGTCTAGTGCCTCCAGGTGGCCCATTGGCTGTCCTGGGCCTCTTGCTCTGAGCCTGTCAGATGGCACCTGTCACTCCCTCACACAGATCCTGACCTCATGCAGTTTGTAGCTGTTGTGGGTTGTCCCCACTGGCTTGCATGCTAGCGCTCCCATGCGTGGGGACGTCCTGTCATCTAACTTTGTTGGGAAGTTGTCCATGGGCTTTTGGTTTTGCTGTCTAGTTGCTGTTTTCATGTGGCAATTCAGAAGGACTGAAAAACCACTGCTCTGCCACCAGCTTCTGCCCAGCGTCTCATTCACATTGCTTTCCCAGGTGTCTGACTTACTCCCAGAAAATTCTGTGATGGAAGCTGTAAAAAATAAAGCACAGGAATGTTTTGCTGTGGAGCCTCAGTCCCTCAGACTTACCTACACTCCGGGCTATCTTTTATGGCAGTAGTCTGACTTAAAAGTTCACTAGGAAGAATTGGGGGTTTGGCTCCGTGGTGGAGCACATGCCAGCCATGCACCAGGCAAGCCCTCGGTTCCATCCCCAGCATGGCAGGAAACAAAGTTCTTTATGATGTGTGCTCAGGTACTGTTGTGACCAAGTACTGGACTAGCTACAGTGAGGTTTTAGTCTGAGGAGTTATCACATGAGCTATTTTTAAATAATCAGTTGAGTTTTTCTTTTTAACCACAAAAGGCGTTGGGTTAGTATGGCACAAATGCCATTTTGAATAAGGCGTAAAATGTGTCATCAACATTAAAATCTGAGTAGATTTTCTACCAGAACAGTACTTCTGAGAGTCTTGAAACTGTGCCATGTATACTACCTGGTGTTTTGAAATTTAAGAAGGATATTTTCCGCCTAACCCTTTTATCATATTCTGTAACACCGTGTGGGTTTGTGTGATTGGCCATTCTGCCGAGAGAGTCAGGGCTGACCAGCACGGTGTCAGAGGTCATAGTTGAGGATCATTGCCAGGACTGTCTGAGGGCTTTCCCAGGCCTCAGTTCTAGCCTTTCCTTCATGACCACAATTTCAAAATAAATTATAGGGGCCTAGAAGCAAGTCAATAAAAAATGTAGTCATTTTTTAAACTTTTCAGATAAAAGCTGAGGTAATTTTCTTTTCATTTCTTCAAAAGTTCCCATCTTGACATTCTCTGGGTGTATGTACAAAAAAAACAAAGCACAAACAATGAGACTGAGCAAAGCCAGCCGAATGAAACTCCCTGGTCAAAAACCCCATGCTCCCATTCTGTCACTAATCAAGTTCCAAGTCTGAAGCAACAGGTAAGACTAGGACCACTCCTTAAAATAGTCAGTGGCTGTTTGACACTAGCACAGAAGACACATTCACATAGAGGACCTTGACCATGACTCATGGTCACAACCCCCGTTTCAGATTAAAATCGGAAGACCATTACCTCATCTCAGCAAATCTCATATTTGTGAGAAGCAAAAGTCACTTCCAAGTTAGCTTAAACCAACATATTTGAACTCTCTTTTTAATTCTTTTCAAAAAAATAAAAAAGACTGTAAGGTTAGCATAAAAGTTAATTTTTTTTTTTTGAGGATTAAAATAAAGCAATGTTGGGTGCCAGTGGCTCACACCTATAATCCTAGCTTCTTAGGAGTCAGAGATCAGGTGGATTGTGGTTCGAAGCCAGCCTGGGCAAATAGTTCTCAAGACCCTATCTTGAAAATGCTCTACACAAAAAAGGGCTGGTGGAATGGCTCAAATGGTAGAGTGCCTCCTAGCAAGTGTGAAGCCCTGAGTTCAAACTCCAGTACCATCATAAATTAGAGAGAGATAAAGCAAGCATAGCCAGGTGTGGTGGCACACACCTGTAATCCAGCAATTCAGAGGCTAAGGCAGGAAAGTCTCATTTGAGATCAGCCTAAGCTACATAGCAAGACCCTGTCTCAAAAAATAAAGTGAATGAAATGAGACAAAGCAAGTGTAAACTACTTTTCATGTAATGTTGGTAATTTTAACTAGTGATGAGTCACTTAGTAAACATCGGTCTCCTCCCACATCAGGTGGTGTTCAGGAAGTAGCTTACATCCACTCAAACCAGAACGTGATTGGATCCAGCAAAGCTGAAAACCACATGAGCCGGTGGGCGGCACGGGACGTGTTTGAGTTGAGGCAGTTTTCCCAGCTTCCTGCTAACATAGCCGTTTGCAGTTCTAAGGTAAGAAGAGTACAGAGCGACATCACTTACCAGATATTATAATCTAGTCTTCTGCTCACTTTTCAGAGTTAGTAGTCCTTCAGAAGTAGCTACTGAAATTGTATGTGACTTACCACTAAGCGTGAAAAAGCCAGGCACCACTGGGGAACTAGTCACTGAAGAGATGTTGGATTCAATGACAAATCCAGATCTAAAAATGCCTAATAATATTGAGTTGCTTAATAGTTTCCCTCTTTTGAACAGAAGTGTCTATGCACTCAAAATGCAAAAGAGTCTGAGGGGATCATGCTGTTAAATCAGAGCCAAACTCCTTCTGCTCGTGTGGAGAAAGGAAAGTGTCTGGTTAGATTTCCTCAGACAGCTTCCCACCTGAAGTAAAGACTCAGTGTTAAAGTCGTCTGTACTTCCTGCAAGCTCTTGCACTCAAAATTACTGTTATGTGGAGATAAAGGTTATATAAATGATATTTTTGTTTACACAAGTCACTTTCATAGAAAGTTTATAAACATATTTTCTTTTCCTCAGCATATTCCTTATTAATTCTTAAGAGCTAAATGAGAGGTGGTTGTAACCATTACTTTATTGGTCAATGTTAAAAATGCACACTGCCACAGTGATACTTTGTTTTAACCTGCTATTACATTGACGAACAAGGCAGGCTCAAGAAAGAGTTTGCATTGTTTTAACAATAAAACCCGAGTTAAAGTGAATACAAATTAAATTGGACGTTCAAGACTGGGGAAGTTAGAATGCAGATACACAGGACGTAATGCTTTACTCAGGTATTTTATGAACATGACACATTTGAGCTTTCTGGTGGACAAAACAAAGGAAGTAAAGCACGTATCTAGTGATTTCCCAGCAAGCGTGCTTGGAAATGTGAGTAGGCGGCTTGGTTGGACACAATAGCTGAGTGCCCTGTTGGCATTCGCAATGTCTGGAGGCCTGGGATACTGTTCTGGACAGAGGGTAGCCACACAAGCAAGGAATTGTTCTACCCCAAATACCATAACACTTGCGGAGAAACAGTGAGCATAAGTGTCCTCAGGGGGCAAGCAGGAGTATACCTCCTTCTAGAGTAAAGCTCAAGCTTTGAGGACTTGTCACCTAAATGATCTAGTGAAGAGTCAGTTATCTTAATAATATCCTTAAAGTAAATGTAATAATGGTCTTTAAAAAGTGGTGCTTTTTGAGAGTTTTTCAATCTAGTACAAAGGCCCATTACCAAAATGCAACTCATGAAAGCAATATTTCATGACCCAGGTAGGCTGCTTGTACCCCTTTGGTGACGGAACACACCATCTCTCAGCTAGCACTGTGAACAGCGTCCTGCAGTCTGACTGCCTTGTAGGAGACATCTGGCAATGGCAGAAGAGTATTGGGTTGTCCAGAAATCTGCTTTGCTAGGATATAGAGGAGACCAGAGTCTTCTAAACGGTTTATGTTTATTAGAGTATGGGTTCTTTTTTTTTAAACCATTCCCTTCCCAAACAAATTTTAATATGAGAGGTCAGATAATTTGGCAACTCCTTGTAGTAAATGTTAATAAAATAATTTAATTGGATATTGGTTTTTAGCTTAGCTAAATATTTCTCAAAGAAGATATTTATGGGTATATTAATTCTTCCAAGAGTGAACTTGAGAAACAACTCCTAAATACAGAAGCCACAAATAGCCCTTTACTTTGCCTGGAGCCTTTTCAACCCGGCACTTTTGAGGTGGATGACACAATCTCATCAGAAACCTTTTCTCTTCACATGATTCTCAGAGTAGGGGACAACTGCTGCCAGGAAGCAGCTAGAATGTCCACCCAACTGTGTGTCACACATACTCAATGCAGCACATCCTTTTCAAGGAATATGAAGAAATGTTTTATTTAATGGTGAAATCATGGTGTGTGTAAAATATTTAAGGAAGTCTTAAATTCCCTAATCAGAAGGTTTGATCCCATGCCCCCAAGTGCCAGAAGGTCAAGAATAGCCCGTGTAAACACATGCATGTCAGTGGCTGACTTCTTTAAGCATTCCATTCCAGCTTTTCAAGGCCATTTCACAGACTTCCTGAGGGAAAAAAGTGTCACAGATTTCATCATATCACAGCAATGTGACTTCAACACCTTACATGAGGAAGTCATTGAAACACACCACCGTTTTGGGTCAGAGAGATTGGTGTCACTCACTCAGGTTTTGCAGCTTATAGGGCACAGGTGGGTGGCAGCAGGGGATCTGAAGTTTTGAAAATTTTAAAAATATTATGGGACAAAAGAGAATAAACAAAGGAGAAAGGAAATCAAGCAGCACAAAAGAGATTCAGACACAGTGTTAGCCAGTACCTGGAAACTTCTTGCTCCTGAAGTCTCCAGAACCCCAGACCTCCCACCTGCAGTAAGTAGGGTGTCTTTCATCTGGGGCTCAAACCCAGAATCTTTTCGATTACTAGGAATTCTTCTGAGTACTTCATGTCTGTCATCAAAATCTTATTAAAGAACTTGACTGGTGTCTGCATGTGCGTGCATGTATGCACGTGCACACGTGTCCGTACCTCAGCCAGATAGAGGCGTGTTACCTCACTTTCTAAAAAAACAAAACAAATCCTGCACATTTATGTGAAGCCAGTAGATAGGAACAGCAGCTCTCACCGCCAGCATTCCACTTTCTGAGGGAGACTGTTGGGTTCCTGAGTCTGAGTTCGAGCTTGAGCTAAACTGCAAAGGAGTGTGCACGTTAGATGGGAACTGGAAAAAAGAAGTAATAAATGTCAGGTAAACACCAGTACTTAATAATAACACATCAAACCCTATGGCCTTCAGAGCATCTCAGTCTTTCTGACATGATCACCAATAATCAACATGACAGAAACTAAACCTGCTTTTCACATTCACCTGTGTGCTTGGGAAAGGCTGGTTTCCCGTGTTTCCTTTGATTTCTTTTATAAGTTCTATTTACAGAGTACTTTATGGATGTCCTAAACTAAAGCCTGTCTATCCTAAAATAAATTTCTAGTTATCCCTTTGTTACTTGATAGCACAAACCATGTACAATAACACGCATGACAAGAATGAAGCAATTTTGCTTGCTTATTTGAAAACCATTCCTGAACATAGCTCATTTTGAAAGGTACGGTGTCTGAAGGGAGCTCCTGTTTGACTGAGGCTCAGCTCACACCAAAAAGGAATGTTCAGGTACCCGAAGGAACTGTGATACCTTTATTAGGACTAATTCGTTCTCTTTAGTGTATGGAAGTCTGTCACAGAACTTAACTGTACCTGCCGGTGATGCGGTGCCCCCTTTTCTCAGTCAACCTCACGTTTTCAACTTCGGTTTACTTAAAGTTTTCTGAGAAGCAAAGCACAAAGGCAGCATTCAATGAAGGATTATCACCGTGGCAACTGGGACATGGTGACTGAGGGGAGCGTGTATTCTCCCCTCAGCTTCCTGCCAGCTGTCATAGTCAACCTCTGCTTCCTGAACCTACGCCAAAATATCGACTGTGACCACCACTGAGAAACCCTATCTGTATTTTTATAAATCGGTACAAGTATCACACTAGAAAAGAGGACTTAATCCCCTGAACTGGATGACAGACACTTGGCACTCTTGCCAGTGTTTGACAGAGGAATAACGGGCCGCTTTGTAGTAAAACCTGGATTAATAGTAAGCCCTTCTTTATGTTATTGCAGTGTGGTGTAAACTAGAGGACGCAGCGAGCCGGCAGCCGGGGCTGGGAGCAGCGTGGGGAGCCCTTTTCATAGCTAGAAGACTGTAAATACCAAGTGTGTGTCAGTAGGAGCGGCTCCTTGTATTTGTATTCGGTTGGCGTTTTGTAGCTTGTGTAAGGCAGGGATTTCTGTGAGTGTGGTGGATTTGATGGCAGTGCGTTTATACAACCTTTGAGTCAGCAAGGAGGGACCGACTGTTTACAGTGAGCAGACTTTGGGGAGGTAGAGCATTCCATTACCCGACTTTTCAGGACGGCGAGCGGCTTGGTGGTGTAAAGTAATTGCTCACAAATGACTGCTTCATAAAGCAAGGCCTCTGCTTTCAGCCGGTGGCACAGTTCACTCTTACAGGGTGGGATTCGCCATCTTCTCTATCTGGATGTTAGCTTCCTGGTATTCATATCAGAAAGCTGTTCTCTTCTCTTCTAAAAACCATGAGCTCTGAAGTAGTAGGCTACATCTCTGATTCACCATTGCTACCTGAAAATAATGTCTTCAATACAATTAACACTTTCTGAATGGAATTTTCACTTGTTGTCAGAATACAGTGAGCCCCGTCACTGTGTTCTGAAATTTTGAAGCTTACTTATGTTTCCCTAGACATCTTCTGGAGATCAATCATGATATCCAGAGTTACCACTGAGTATAACCAACTAGAGGATCAGCCTCATCTGGATAAGAAGTTGTGATAGTATGAGATATATTTTTGCTTTTGTGTGTGTGTGTGTGTGTGTGTGTGTGTGTGTGGTTCTGGGGCTTAAACTCAGGGCCTTTACCTTGAGCCACTCCACCAGCCCTTTTTTTGTGAAGGATTTTTTGAGATAGGTTCTTTCAAACTGTTTGCCTGGGCTGGCTTTGAACCACGATCCTCCTGATGTCTGCCTCCTGAGTAGTTAGGATTACAGGTGTGAGCCACCGATGGCTGGCTATATTTTTGGTTTTGACCACGCTTCCTGCTTTATAACTCCCTGTCCAAGACAGGCCACAGATCTAGAATTTCTCTTCCTGAAGGTGGATCATAGAAAACAAATCTAACCTCCCTACCACCACCAACTTTTTTATCTTTGAGCTGTTCATAAACAATTCTGGCCTGCCTTCTCCCATTGAAGGTCCTAAGAACCCCCTCATTCCTAAGGGGTGGTGTCCCTTATGCTGCACAGAGAGATGAAGAAGGCTAAAGCACTCAGCTTGAGCAAGTCTCCCTGGGTTCCCTACCCAGCCTGTTAACAACCAATGAAGTCTCCAAAATACCCAAAAAGACAGGATTTGGAGAGCTTCCAGG